TCTTTCCGTCAAATTCTAGGACTGCTTGTGCCATTTCCCTAATATATGCCCTCTGGGCAGCGGCTGTGTTAACCATTACAAGGCTGTTATCAGCACTTGTCACTTTCAGATAAAATTCATTTGGAATCCAGTGTGATAACAGCAGGAATTGTTAGATTTGTCAAATCTTATTCTTCTAATTGAATATCCTCAGTCCGAAATTCAAAGTTTTCACCGAGTTCCAACTTTACAGGTGTATTTAAAATAGAAGGTAAAATTATGTGGTTAATACGTCTTTAAGTTGGTATATCAATAATCGAGCTTCGTTAAAGCTATCGATTAATGTTAGGGCGTGCCTATTAACTGTATCTATATACGTATGTATATTTTGTGTTAGACATTTATACGACTTTTTAAATCTCTTTTTAATATTTTAGATTCGCTCAGAAAGTTCTGGCCATTCCATAATATTGACAAGCTACTTTATTTTTCAAGATTATTCTGGGATATACTAAAGAGTTAAGCCGACTTAAAAATAAAAAATCTAGACTGTATGCTAAATTTAAATTCACCAGTTCTCAATCTGCCCTTTCATCATATTTATCAGCTCGGTCAAACTTTACCGTGCTGAACGCGCAGTGTTATAAAAACTATTTAACTCCTTGTAGGTCCCAGTTCTCACAGGACCCAAAACAGTTTTATAATTTCGTTAACACTAAACGTAAGCCTAAAAAATCCTTCTTCGCTTTCATTTGAAAATACTATCGCAATTTTTTCAAACAACCTATTCAAGCTCTTCGTATTTACACCAGACTTATTCCTACGACATACCCAAAGCAAGCATAATTTTCTGTCCTAGCCTAAACGAAAGTTCTCTCCTTTTAGATCTTCATCGTGTCAAGGCAGTTTATTCGCCAGGTCCCGACGGAATTCCAAGCTGTGTGCTCAGGTATTGTACCGACGCCCTGTGCTATCCCCTTCTGAAATTGTTTACCTTGTCCTTGGAAACCTCCCACTTTCCCATTATTTGAAAGCAATCGTTTATTATTCCTCTCCACAAAAAAGGTAGCAAATTGGATGCCAGCAATTCTAGAGGAATCTCTAATTTGTCGGCCATTCCTAAATTATTTGAAAACGTTATCACCCCTCACTTACAGCACCTTTGTAGATCGGTTATTTCTCCATGTCAACATGGTTTCATTAAGCGAAGATCAACAACAACAAATCTCTTGGAGCTCTCTTCCTATATTATAAAGGGCTTCCATAATAAATTTCAGACAGATGTAATCTATACTGATTTCAGTAAAGCATTTGACTCTGTTAACCATTCTCTCCTCGTTAGAAAACTCGATTCAATGGATTTTCCAAGTGATCTTCTTAATTGGCTCTCAAGTTATCTGAATGGCAGGACGCAAAAGGTCCTCTTTAAGAATAATTTATCTAATGTTCTAAGGGTTACATCTGGCGTACCGCAAGGAAGCCATTTGGGACCCTTAGTGTTTACATTATTTATAAATGACCTGCCCAATGTCTTGATTAACTCCAGAGTGCTTATGTACGCGGATGACGTCAAGCTTTGTATGCAATACAATGACGTTGCCTGCCAGTCGGATTTACAAACAGATCTTAATAATTTTCAAACTTGGTGCCGTGTAAACTTATTAAACTTAAACGGCTCGAAATGCAAGCTAATGACATTCTCTCGTGTCGTTCCAAAGCTTGCTACTTACACGCTGAACTGCTGCTCTTTGGAAAGAATTAATTCTGTTGAGATTTGGGCGTCCGCTTGGACCCAAAACTTGACTTTATTGATCATATTTCGTCTATGGTGAATAGAGCCAGGGGTGTGCTTGGATTTATTAAACGGTGTTAGAAGGAATTCAATGACCCCTATGTTACTAAATCCTTATATACTTCCTTAGTTCGTCCTATCTTAGAATATGGATGCTACGTTTGGAGCCCTCAGTACGGCGTCCATAGTAAACGCATTGAGTCGGTTCAAAAGAACTTTTTACTTTTCGCTCTACGCGGTTTAAATTGGGATGCAAACCAAAGATTACCTTCCTACTCTAGTAGACTTCTATTAATAAACTTGCCGTCCTAAGCCAATCGTAGAACGATGCTAGGGATAACCTTTATTTTTTACCTTATCCATGGTGATGTAGAAAGTGCTGACTTGTTGAGTCAGCTTAATTTTCACGTACCATGTAGAACTACTAGATCCTATATCCCATTAGTGTTGCGCCACTATAGAACCTCCTTTGAACTGCATGAACCTTTTAGAGTGTTATGTGCAAATTATAATGATTTATACACAGTAAGCTGTAACGTAGATACCGTTCCCAAATTAAAATATTTAATACTAACACACTTAGTAAACATGCAAGCTAACAACCTGGCAGCACGCCGGTAGTCAATTTCCTCGTATTATGTCCTATATTTTCCATCGCGCCTACTAACACCTTACCCAAACAGGCACGTGCCTGCTGTCATACGGGTCACTTGAATTTACTGACCTTAGTGCATCAACGTCCAAGAATAAGATATTCTTACTATTCATCATACAGTGTATTCATTATCTATGAAAACGAACGTAGTATGACGTTGATACATGATAATATAAATAATGTCAACTATGATTAATCATTGTTGTTTGTGCTATGCCAATTAAGATTTTGTCCAAGTCATTTGCTGGGCTCATGAATCTTTTCTTTAGGCATGTATTGTTATGATGATACAATGATACTGATAATCATATTCACGCACGCAAACGCACTTGCTTGATCTGTGTTTACTCATACATGCAAACCCATTCTATTTTTAGATCTTTACGCTCTCAACTTTGTGAGAGCTGGGAGAGCACCATTGTCGTTTGAATCAAAAAGTTAGACCCATATTGCAAAACGAATGTATGATCGTGAGGCATCTTGTAAATTGTATAGGCTTTGATTGTGGGTATGTCTTCTTTGAGTATGTGAGTCTACATGACTCCTTGTATGCGTTGTTAAAAATATTACTGAAGTCCTCAATATCCCTGTATATCCTTCTGGGTTACACCGAACTTTGGTCCTTCTGTTTCTCACCTTAGACTGTCAGTCTTGCGGGGATTGCGCTTTGGTCTCCCTGTGTCGGTATCGAGGTTTCAAGGAATATGTATGTGGTCTGAAAAAGAGTGTCGAGTCCCTCTATTTTCCTACCTTATAATTGCTGTCCTCCATTTGGAGAGTTATATTTAGAACCTCTTCCCAGCCTTGAAATTCTTCCGTACTTTGAAAAATCAAGGTCAGCGTCTCGTCCTTTTTACGGATAGTGACGTCACGACTTATAATACTATCGAAAAGAGACACATCCCTTTCGTTTCTTTCCTTACTTCCCCATAGCGTGTGCCTAGCATTGGTATCGCACCCGAGGATAAGCGTAGTCTTATTCTCCTCAGCCCACTGCATCGCCCTGATGAACGCTTCAGGGGGTGCCGGTTATGAGTATAGCTGTCCCGTCCGCTGCTTCAAACCTGGCCAATGCTAGATCTGAGTTGCTAAGGTTGCGATATAGAAGTGCCTTAAGGTTGTTTGTTTTAGATAATTATACCCGCCCTCGATCTATCGACCTGTATATCCTTTCAAGGCCATTCCAGATATTGCCCTATCCCTAGACCATGGGTCTTGTATTAGGCCGATCTCGATGTCCTGCTCTTGGAGAATTGCAAGATTTGCTGAAGCGTGCGAGCGTCGACTTCATCTTCGAGGACATCGTCTGGCTCGGCTAGGGAGACCTTTATCTTGGCCTCTCTGATGCCATACCGAACCTTGTAATCTACATTTTCAGTTGTTTTAGGCATCGCTGGTTAATAAGGAACATGAACGGCTGACTTGTTTTCATCTCCCGCTCCGCCTTGAGGATAGCCCAGATTCTGTGCTCGCAGAGTCTTAAGCACCCTTTCGTGGTTGCATTGCCCCTTTGGCAACCAGATGCCAGCGAGGGGTCTTTTTGGGATATCTTTGGCAGAGACTAGCATCATGCTAATCCTATTCCATGCGTTGCTAATCTTTGTCACGCACTCCGCCAGGAAGTCCCTCGATGACTCGTCGTCGCACATGGTCACCCGGTGCCCTCTAACAATGTCTAAAGAATCAAAAAAAAAGGTGTCGGCTAGATAGCTCCGATAGTTATTTGTCTGTTGTCTGATGGGCCCATCGTCGTTGAGCTCGTCCACCAGTGCCATGGCAAAACTGTCTCTAGCCACCTCACTGCATTTCCTCGACGGTCTGATGAAGGATGCCGCTCTCGGGGCCCCCTTATCGTTCTTCGGCCTCTTCGGAGCGCTCTCGCTTACTTAATGCGAGCGGTTGTGCTTCGACTGCGTGGGCAAGAACAATTCTGGGTGCTCCTTCTTGTACCGCTCGAACTCATCGACTACTGCCGGGATTTGAGCTTTGTCCGCTTGATCTCGCCCTCCTTCTCACACCAACTCATCTTCGTCGATTTCGGAGACGGAGTGGGGTTATTGCTTCTGCTACGTTTTTGTCCTACATTACAAGGTAACGCTGCCGTTTTTTAATGTTATCCTTGCTCTCGCTCTCCCCTGGCGTCTCTCTGGTAACTGGTAGTTTTGCCTGATCTTTATCGGACATCGCTACTCATTGTCACTGATCGGCTTTTTTAGCCGATTTTTGCTTTACTGGATTAGGCTTCGCTCTTTTCTGTCGGTAGTAACGTCTGGTAGATCACTTGGGACTATGACCAACTCGAAAGCACCAACCAGGACACCAGTGACCCGATTTGAATTAAAATCTGCTTTTCTAGCACCGACACAAGCCGCAGAAAGGGGAGCTATGTATTATAATCTAGCATTAATATATAAAAATCCACACTATCATGCTTTTATATCTTTAAGTCTATATTTAGGCGGCACGGACCCTAAAACGTGGGGTCACAATATGGCCTTCAATAAACGATTTTAGAACTTTATATAAATATTTTATTCTCAATTTATTTGGTTAATACTTTACAGCACACGAACATTGCATATTGCAAATAATAAAGATAGAAATAAATATATTCATAAAACTGTTACATTTCCACAATGCAGCACATAAAAGCAAACGGAGCAAACTCTGACTGGTTTGTTGATTCCAAATTTTAAAATCGGTACTTCGTTGCTGGAACATTTGGAGCACAAAACACGACCACAATGGCGACTTAAAATAAAATCAACATATAAGATGGAATAGTGTAATTTGTATAATACTTACCAATGGTGTTTCCGCATGGTTATTGTTAATTTTATATTGCATTCTTGGCATAAATCAGACTCAGACCAAGGTGATTCCTGTGGCAGTTTGTCTAACAAATTGTGAAGAAGTTGATCCGTAGGCAACTTGAAATTAAAAATATTTATACCTTCCCTATTTTCAGTGCCAAGGCACGCTCCTGCTTTTACTAGTACTTTACAGAGTGGCGATTGACCAGGCATAAAGGATAGCAGAAGTGGTGTATTTCCATCAAGGTCAGGGGTGTTTATTGGGTATTTTGGCATACATTCTAAAAATAATTCGCAAATGGTTCCTGCTGTATTATCTTTCACAACTCTACAAAGTTCATGCATTGGATTTCTACCTCTTGAATTCCTTGCCTCTGCATTTACTCTTGATTCTGTTAAAAGTTCGCGTACAATTAAAAACTGACCGCCATGTACAGCTAGGTGTAGAGCATTGTTTCCATCAGCATCAGTTGCGTCATAGTCAGCACCGTTTTGAATTAAAGCACATACTGCAGAAAGATTGCCGTGTTCAATTGCAATGTGTAGGGGCAATTTTTGAAAAGCATCACGCTCATTTAAACGAGCACCAGCTAATATGAGATTTCTAGTTATCATTTCAACTTGTGATGCAGCTGATAAATGTAAGGGCGTTGACTGATTAACATCATGAACCCGAGAATTAATGTCTACTTGAATAGATAACAAAAACAGAACGGTTTCCAAATCATCTTTTATAATAGCCAAATGCAAAAAATTACGGCCTAGTTGATCCATTTGCTCAGCTGCAGTTGGAAGTCGCTCTAAAATGCGTTGCGCCGCCTTGTGATTTCGAGTGTCTAGAGCGGATGCAAATGCAGTGTTTCCAAAGCTGTCTCTAAGTTTTAAATCTATTAAAGGGTGACAAAGTAGAATGTTTATTATCTCATCATGTTGATTTTCTATAGCAATATGTAGCGGGGTTTTTTTATTAGCATCAAGCACGTTTATATTAGCACCATGATCAATTAGAGTTTGAAGAACATGCGTAAGTCCCCACTGACAACATAGATGAGACGGAGAAGCTTTTTCCTGAACTTCATCTCCGCCCTCCCCGTTTGGGCCTGCTTGACGAGCGGAGTCTAAGTCACACTGACTTTGAATTAAAAATATGGCTATATTAACTTTGTTTTCATCTATTGCACGATGTAGTAGTGTTTGTTGATACCCATCAGGTCCTTTGTGCCAACAGTCAGTGTCAACACCATGACGCACAAGCACACGTGCCACATCTTTTCGTTCTAAAACTAAAGCAGTCCACAGGGGGGAAACACCGTTATTGTCAGATACATTCAATGAAATTCCTTTTGTACAAAGAAAATCCACAACTGTTGGTAGATTGTGTTCAATTGACAGCATTAATATAGAGTTCTGATCACCTATGTATGGTATATAATTATATTAATAATAACAATAATGATAATAAATATTTACCTGCTACAGAAGTAAAATCTGCTCCTTGTTTAAGTAAAACTAATGCAGTCTCACTGTCTTCATTCATAATTTCTTGCTGCAAGAGAGTTATTTTGTCCTTATTTTTACATTAACGTCTGCACCGCCTCTAATAAGTGTTGAGACGAGTCGAGTTCTTTTTAATCCCAAGCAAAAGCTTAGGGGTGAGTCACCATTAATATCAATGGAATTGAAGTCATCATTTTGCAATCTAGCTTTCATCTGAACAAATGCTTCTAATGCATCAATGGCATCTGCTTCAACTGCCATGTGAATGGGTGATTTTAACCCGTTTTTTATTGATTGTATATTGCATGACGCTCCGTTGATAATCAATTTTTTATCAAGTTTGACATGTTTTTAAATGATGCAATATGTAATGCAGTTAATCCACTCTTATTTAAGTAATCCAATTTGGCGAAGTCTGTAAGAAATACAGCTGTACTCTCGCGTTGTTCATCCAAGGCGAACACCTGGAGAAGGCTATTTCCTGTAGCTGATTTAATTGGATTCGGTTCGGCACCCATTTTTAAAAGTCTTGAGGCAAGTTTAAAGTTCTTCTCTTGGAATGTTAAGCTAAGCTCCAAAGCACATTTCTCTTCCAAAGTGCGCAAGTTAATATTAATGTTAGGCACTTGAAGTAAAAGCTTGATCATTTCTGTATTTTTTCTTGTAATTGCTATATGTAAGGGAGTTTCTCCATTCTTATTTTGAATATTTACATTTGCATTTTTTTGCAAAATTTGTTTGCCAATTTGTAGTATTTCTCCAAATATGTTTTGATTGTTCCGGAATTCATCATATGTACATATAATATGCAATGCAGTATCTGCAGAAGGACTTCAACGTATTAGCATTAAACTTAAAAGATAATTGTCTTCGGCAAGCCGGAGTTTATATATATCTGTGTGGTTTACATGAGTACAATAACGTAAAGAGTAATGCTAACATAAGATAAATTCACTTAAAACGTCAGCGAAATTTATATTTATAGCCATGAGACCAACGAAATTAAAGAAAAGGCGCGAAAATAATCACGTTTACACCAGTTTTTTGTAAACAAACTATATACAGACCAGACGGAAATGGCTAGAACGACTCCTCTACTGCGTAAAAAACTTTGGACTAAAAGTAAAAATATAATTAGGGAAGATAGGTAAGGTTAACTTAGTTTTTCATTCCTAGTTCTTGAAATAATTGTTGCAGAACGAAACTGTTGAAAAAGTTGAGCCCCGGTAAGCCCATCATTTTTTACAATTCAAAGCGAAGGTTTTGGTCGTTTTCATAAGGATGACTTTAGAAACTATTAGAAATTGTTTTGAGATAGAAACTGCATGAAAAATGAGATAACCATGAAAGTTTCATAATCCATGATCATATTACTTTAATTTTTATTTCCAACACTCTAGTTTTAAAACTTTGCAAAGTATTATAACTTTTCCCAGAAGTTTTTAAAGCAGTGAAGGAGACATTCCGACCCTATAAGGAATACAAATTTTTGATCAGCATAAACAGCAAAATTTATATATCTAAGTCCGTCCTTCTGTCCGCTCGTACGCAAAGTAGTCCCTGAGCTTAAAAGCTTGGGAGACGCGTCGGAAAACGATCGGACATAAATGACGCAAGAGTATAAAGAAAAATTAGCTTTGCGAAATCAGTGAAAACTTGATGGTTCGACATCTGGACAAGGAATTGATGGAGATGAAACTTCTAAACGTATTTCCAGTGTGGGGTGACAAGCGTAGTTTAGGACAGGATATAGGATCAATTCTGGAGACGAGGGTTTTGGCAAACTCAGACGCAAAGTTCCTTATGTAGTTCAATTGACCCAACGAAAGCTCAAAAAGACCAAGGACTAAGGACCAAGGAATCAGGTGATTTGGAGAGAAGGTTAAAATCACCTATAGGTAATAAGTGGTCATAAACACCAAGAGTTGAGTGACTGGTGCTAATGATATATAGTAGCGTCAGACCGGGGTGGAATGTACGAGCAAGAGACATAGACAAAATAGTCGTGGACTTGGATACAAGCCGCAACAAACTCCAAAGAATTATCGGAGTAGGTTATGGGAACCAGTTCAGAAATAAGGTCAGATTTCACAGCAATAAGAACACCGCCGCCAGAACGCATTTGAGGGGCCTATAGACAATTTGGTTGTCAGCGAATAATTCGCAATCCGAGAGAGATGTGTTAGGTCCCTTTTTTAGTAAAAGCAATTACGTTGGCATCAACCCCAACAACGACTCAGAGCGAGCTATGCCGCACGGGTCGTAGACACAGACTCGGAGCTGGAGAGCGTTCAGCTCACCAAAGAGGAGAAAAAGAAATCTGGCACCATCTCCCCGCACAGAGACGGGCCGAAAAGGTCAAGCTAAGAAGAGGGTAGGTTACTATGCCACTACGCCAAATATTCTCACATAACCTCAACAGGCGGTTTTGCCACCAAAGTGAAGGAGTTACTGGGCAGCAAAAGGCAACGCGTTATTAAACACGCTTCGGCGAGCGGCAACGCGGCGCCAAGCAGGCAGTTCCTCCACCAATAGTAAAGAAACGAATGAAGCAGGAGGTAAAGATAATGAAGTGACAAAACAACATATGATCGTTGCACTCATTGACTGAAGCGTCATAAACGGCAAGATGACCGAAGCGTGGTGAAAGGCGGTTCACGCGCGGCTCGTACAATCGCTGTTTGCACGGATGGAGAATGATTCCAAGGCCCCTATGCCCACATTTGATGGTGCGGGGTGGCTGAACGGGGTCAAAATCCTGGACGACCCGATTTGGAAGTGGCTGACGCAAACGTAAGATCAAATGGAAGGGTTGTGGGAGGAGGTCATGCTGGAGGTGGTGGACAGGGAATTAATCCCATCCCTACCGAAGGCGAATGTACTTTTCCTGATTTCAATCCAAGGAGACCGTTCGCCGTAACTTCTACAGCGACTACTTAAAGAGTAGGGTTAATGTCCGCGGTCCTCCAGATCAACAAAGGGACATAGGTTGTGACTACTTGCGTCTCAAGAAGCGACACACCAGGGACAAGGACGCGCACAACCTGGAGGCAGGCGAGGTAAGTCCTAGGTCTGGACACAATCATAATAGCAGCCCAGAAAATGACGCTGAACGAATTAGCGAAGGAAGAGGACAGTGACTTAATAAATATAGTCAACCCGTCGAGACTTGAGCACGGTACCCATGGCTCACATGGTGCTGTAGCTCAACATCCAAATCGTCAAACGTGGTAGATGTAACGCTCGTAGCGGGACGGGGTACTATGATAGAGACCATCCTTTTTAGACCACAAGTACACTACTTCAAACACACTCCTAAAAAAACAGTCTTCAGAAACCCGGAAAACTAACTACGGAAGATATTTAAAAGTCCCTAGGACCCTCTCTAACGAATTATTAGATGTGTACTATGCATCGTTCTGATATCGCTTTCGCTTTTTTTATGTAGAAACTAAACTAAAACTAAATGAATATCGGAAAAAATCTAGGAAATAGAATCCTATTAATAATAACTTTGTATTATATTTTCAAGAGTTTGTGTACTTTTTATGTAGTATAATTTTGTTATCTTATTTAACCACAGTTATTGATTGAAACAAAAAGTTTTAAAAGAAAATTCATTGAATTAACAAATTAAAAAATAAATTAAGAAAAAGAAAGCCTCGCGTGGGATTTGAACTTGCGCTAGCCTGTTTGCAAGGTGGATGTACCCTGAGCCACGCGTCACGATCGCCTGGCAACGGCAAAGACAAATATCAAGCGAGCAAAAAAAAATTCGTAAAAAGGTTGAAAGTTTTTGTCCCTCTCACACGTGATATGCTCATGTGTGTATATCATATGCACATGTGTATATATCATATGCACATGTGTGTATATTGCCGACGCAATTTAAGTTGTCTGCGTAGCGCGAAGTGTAAGCGGCCGGACTGTTAAACATTAAGACATAGGTTCAATTCCCAGTTGGTCGAATAATATACTAAAAAAGTTTGAGTATGGTTCAAAATGAATTCACTACAATTTAAATGTAACAAATAAAAACATCAAGTCGAAGCTGCATACAAATTTGATCATGAGCCGAGAAGCGATCATGTATTACTCGGGCCACGCTTTATTCATGCGTGAATGGGAACTTTACATAAAAGGTGGGTCCTACCCACCGAACGGGTTCACATGAAAGTCAGCACGAATTTGGCTAAAAAGTCGGACTGGGTAGTGGTGGGAACGGAGGAATTGGAACAGCGGCTGGATCCGGAGGCAAAAATGACAATGCCAACCAGCGCTCCGGCGGCAACTACAGACAAAAAGTATCAGCAACAATCGCACTATCGCACAACGAGGAGACTGTCAACTTTCGCTCACACAACAACACCTACCACTAGGCTAAACCTTATGGGGCAGCCGCCCAGCTGGGCAATGCCATGGACACCACCTTGTCACCGCAGCCCATTATGTGGGCCTCGCCACCCGGAAGGGTTGTCAGTGCGGCCAATGGTCGGAATGGCGGGATGGGCAATGCCGATGGTGGGATCATGGCCAACAGCATTGTGGCCACAACTGGTGGTGGCATCGGCGAAGCAGCGCCCCCCAATATGCGCTACCGTCCCGCTGCCCCCAATTAGTTTGTCAAGAAATAATACAGATGGGAGGTTTACCGCCCGCTTCGGCTTCGAAGGTAGATGTAGGCACTATGAAAACATTGGAAAAATTTCATGCATATGTTTCACCAGTATTCCGGCAGATAGGCAACCAAAAAGGAACCGAATGACTTAATGTATGTTTCAGAAACTAGTTTAAGTAGACAAATGCGTTGAGAAACTGACAAACACCCCAACCTCTCAACATGAACAACAACAACTCCACCACCACTACCACTACCCACCACGCAAACAACAAGACGCGAGGATCTGAGACCTGAAGAATCTGAGTGTGTTGTGTGAGCATTTGAAAGAAAGAGAGGAAAAACAGAAGAGGAAAAATTGAATTCAGGGATGTTCCCAGTCAAGCCAGATGTCCATGTTTTGTTTTATATTATTTCAATACATTATTAACACTTTTATTTAACGTTTCATCGACTTTTAATTTAATTCAAAGAATATATATATCTCCTCTCTATGTACATATGTATCCACCGCCCACCGCAAAAGCAGTCGTATGTTTACGT